CCATGGATAGACTGTGGCGAGTGTGTTATGAGGCTGCTTACGCATGCGCATGGCTTCGGCAGTGCCTGGGTTCAAACCCCAACAGCAGCAGTTGCATCCTAAATTTTGATAATATAAATCCGGGAGCGGGGCGGGGCGGGGCGGGGCAGTGGGGCAGCGTCAGCGTGCGGCGCGCAAGCGCCGTGATGTAGCTTCCTTTTTCACCACGTGGAGCTCTCCTGCTGCAGCACCTTCTTTTCGTCGTTTTTCCCGCTTTTTTGCCCGAAAACGCCCCAAAAACAGTCGAAAACCCGACTGTCGGGTTTTGCCGTATTTCGCTGCTGTGCGGTGTGGTGGGTGGGGGCGGGGACCGTTCCCGCTCTGATACCAATGTAGCGGACCCACCAAGTGTGGTGCTCCGCTAGTGACAAAGATGGAGATGGAGGAAGAAGGGGGGAGCAAGATGGCACAACGCAGCTCCCCACGCAAGACTCCAACGCACGTACTCCAAAATGTGCAAGTAAGGAATGAGACTGAAAACAGACAATGGTTGGGGTATACCCCAGCGGACTGACGGGACTGGACTGGACTGGCTGGTACCGACAGAGGTACCGGCCTGGACTGGCCTACCCCGAATATAACACAGGCCTGTGAGAACAGGCCAAGGGGCTGGTCTCACAGGCCAACCCGAGGTCCGCTACATTGGAAGACTGTGGGAATCTTCGTTGAAGGTCTGACATTGACGTCAGACTGGTTAACGATATTTTGCGGCAGTGGTTGGACCACTGTTGACCAACCAAAAATCTTCAATCAGGCGAAAGGGGGCAGGACCCGGCGCCGCCAGCGGTTAGCGCTAACACACAACTCGTTGCGGCAGTCACGGCTTTTGTGAACGAATCGTCATTTTCTATGTTAAACGTCGTGCCACTTACCCACTATGGCGATGGCTATGATGGTAGGGATACAAAGTCTCCCTCTCACACAGAGAGGTAACGATTTCACTTGAAGTCGCGCCTTCCCCCGCGAGTGGCTCGTGCATCCTGCCCTACCTGTCAGCTTGAGAAGGTGCGAAGCCAGAGACATAAGAAGCTACGGGAGCCCAAAGGTGACTCGTGGAACACTCCCAGATGGGAGTTCGGTAACAGAAGCAGCGAAAGGCTATTGAGGTATACTCCAAATGAGATCTGATGGGCAAACCAGAGTACCGAAGAAATAAGATAACTGACTTATCCTATTTATCTAAGCCTCGGAATATATATATATATATATATATATATCGTCACAAACAGAACTACCCGGTAAACCGTAGGCAAAGAGAGAGAAGAAGACAACAAACGAGGGGC